CAATCAAGCTACTGTGGCAGACTTGTACAAAAGTCATTATTCTGTAGTATGTGTAATTCAGATTAATCCACCAATTAAAGAGATAGTCGGTGGGCTGGAGCACGATTATTCGGACTGTCAACCTACCCCCGGTACATGTACATGTTTATATGCTTTGGGCAAACTATATCCATTCTGTAGTAGCCAGTCACACCTACCCTCTACCAGGGAGGCAGATATTACAGGGAAATTTTGAAAAAGCCTGAGAGTGAAATGACTATTTATCTAATGACATATCTGTGAATATATATATANTGCTGTATATGACCTGCTGTTAACAGTGGTTTCTCTACTGGCCTTCGTGCAAAATAACCGGCTTGCAGAAATATCTTGTTCACGTGGGACCTTGAAACGGGCGTTTGAAAGACATTCTGCCTCTCTTTTCTGAGGACACTGGTTTTCTTTGTACGACCAGCACGGCGTCCTCTAAGGAGATGGCGATCCTGTCTTCTTGGTGTGATACGCGGATACCCTGGTCGAGGTATTGGAGTAGGTGTCCCTGTTGCAGCATTTCTTTGGAGGACATCACAAACGGTTCCTGATAAATGTTGAATTACCTGGCAATGGCTGTCCGTTTCTGGCCATTTTCTCTGAGAGCAAGAATCCCATAGTAAGCTGCGTTGCTTAGCTGTCGAACCATATCTTCATTAAGGAACCTGTCAAGTTTCAGAGCGATCCCTTTGTTGCTTCTCTAAACACACCTCAAAGATTGACCAAACCCATGGGTTTTTATACAATGGCAGAAATTGCCGAAAAGACCACCCCTCACATTTCTGACCACAGAACATGCAACTGCATGCATCAATTGTTTCGAGAGTTGTGTGGTAATGAGGTAACACGCCTGGCTACGCATGGAGTGACACCTCAGCTTTGGATTCAAAGTAGTTAGAGAGAAATTAAATATTTTGTAGAAAATTTACTCGCCAAAAAAGAATATTCCATATTTAGTGGTAACCCTGTATATATATATATATATATATATATATATATATATATATATATATATATATATATATATATATATATATATTAATCTGTCGTCCTGGTAGAGGGTAGGTCAAACCGGTGTTAAGAATTTGAAAGCGCAATATTGAGCCTGTCACCTTGGTTGGTTAATGAATCTGAAATAGGCTACACGTGTCTGACAATGAAAGCCAACATGTAAAAGGAGTAAAAAAACTCACTGCATGACAACTAACTACACTGTGCTAGTTCTAGTAGGCCTACTAGCAGTTCAGGACAGTGTCAATGATAACGAAACCCTTATTTAATGTAGATCTACATGTACATGTGTACTTACAGTGTTCCTAAAGTAAGTAAGCGTTCCTAACTGGATATACAGTTCGAGATTGTAGCCTTCCCGGGGTCGACGTCTACCAATATCTTAAAGGATCCGGAATATTGGCACGATGCTTTGGTCCCGTGCGACCATGATGAGTTTCCCTTTGAGCATTAAAGGGATAATAACTCTTCGTATGGGATTTATATTTCACAATAAAAACATTGTGAATAACTCACAGAAATAAAATATATTCTGTTTTACCACAAAAACAGCAGTTATAGTTAATATTCTGATATCTGTGCTGGTCTTCAGACCACGTGACCTCCATTGAAAGCCACACTCTGTTATAATCTCTTAAGAGATTTTAACAAAAAACCAAACTTTTTAGAAAAAATGAAACGGGGACTAACTTTGAATGTAAAAATGGATTCATTAACCATTGGTAAGTATGCGAAAATTGCTGTTAACTCCAGGAAAATTCATTTTTGGCCAAAACGAAGAGTTATTACCCCTTTAAAATTTTATCCTGGTGCTTTCTGTTTGCTGCCTGAGTTGGAGTCTTTTCAAATGCAAAGTACAATTCAAGAACTAGATAAATACACAGATTCTCATATTTCTGATAGAGGCATCTCGGTTAAAAGTCCAAATGGTAGGCCTATGTAAAACCGGTTTTTATTTTTTTTATTTTTAATTTTTCTCATACCTGTACGAATTTCTAATAAGCAGCTACAATTTATTAAACATCAATCCTGAAAGGTCTGAAAGTGAAAGATCAAACATATTCTTGCAGACAAAAACCAGTACACGGTGTTTTAACATTCAAAAGTGCCTATGTTGATGAAACTGGCCTTAAGCACTTCCACAATATATATGAAAACCATTTTTTTATTCTTGGATACTTTTATTTGTGGTATTTAACAACGTATCCTTTTGAGTGAGTCAGAAAGGGTAACATCTTGAACTCGGCGATCAGTTTGCCACCTAGCGGTAGATTCAAGATAAAGGAAGACCAGAGGAAGAGTGTAAGGGCGTGATCCTACAGATTTTAGATCGATCTATCCCCGTGAGGAGTCTCGCTAATTTACTGTCAGATAATCCAGCTTAAATGTCCGTCCCGCCTACTGCAAGCTGTAAGGGGGTAATAAACTTTCGTGCCCGCTCGGTTGACAGCTATTTAGCATGAACCCCCAGCTGGGAGTTAGGTCAATCTAGTTGGATCGATTTAATCTCTGGGAATGGGGTCTAAGGTGTTGATCAGGCACTGTGGGTGCGTTCTGAAGTAGTTGCACATACCCGTACGTACCTTTTGTTTTATTTATCAAAGCAACAAGGCGAAACCTGAATATCTGTTGAAACAATTTTGTTGTAATAACAAACGTTAATATAACACATGTTGCACTTTCGTGTTATGTACAGTGTATTAATGTTGATGTGTGTGTGTGCTTTTTTGTCGTGGACCCATCATCATATCATACAGTATTCTATAGACCCAAGGTGGCATAAACTTATTTGATTCTAGATGGTCTTCATCGTAATTTGTATTCATGTTACTACTACTTTTCTGTTCTAAAGTAAGTGATTACTATCACTAAAATGTCAGTAGATGTGAAAAGTTATTTGAATTTTCTTTTACAAATGAGCCCATGGAAAAGTGATTATGATAATGACTGAACTTTTCACCTTCTTCAGTCTGTGATTGTAGCATTGGTTTCATACATGTACATCTGTATGAAATGCCAGTGCAATTGAAGCTTGGCAAGTGAAACTCTTGAAAAGTGTTCATTTAAACGACATATGAGGAAATCTACTTGTTACATTTTAGTACTAATTTACGAAAGGAAAGAGAGAAAAGTATGATAAATCGGGAGATTTTGCGTCTGAATCGGTAGATCGGGTGATATTTCCCATTATTTTGTCCAGGCCCAAATCGAGAGACTCCGACGAGATCGGGAGTGTTGACAGGCTAGGAGAGTATATTTCAGGTGTCGCACGGAGGATTCTTGACCCTTCTGGTCGTAGAAGCTCGTGATAGTGTAACTCAAAGTAAAAGTTGGTGTGCTCATTGTAACCGGTCTTCGTAATAAACAGTTTGCAAGTCGCATTTTTGATGGACTCCCTATATTTTTTGTCCTTGTGAAAAAATCCATCATGTTATTGGCCAAAAACATGAAGCCCACACAATTCTGCCAATTTGTCAATGTTTCTAGGAACGAAGTTCTTTTAACGTAACAAAGCTTAAAGAGATAATAACTCTTCGTTTTGGCCAAATAATAAATTTCCCTAGAGTAAACAACAATTTTTTTCCATACTTATCAATGGTTAATGAATCCATTTTTACATTCAAAGTTAGTCCCTGTTTTTTTCTAAAAAGTTTTCTTTTTTGTTATAATATCGTAAGAGATTATAACAGAGTATAGCCATCAATGGAAGTCACGTGGTCTAAAGACAAGCTCAGATATCAGAATAATAGCTATAACTGCCGTTTTTGTGTTACAACAGAATATATTATATTTCTATGAGTTGTTCACAATGTTTTTATTGTGAAATATAGATCCCATAGGAAGAGTTATTATCACTTTAATTCAATAAGATTTATCACGTGTATATAGGACAGTTTCTGTAAATGTAACAAAGCTTTATTCAATTAGAATAAGCATTTGTTTCTAGGAACGAAGTTCCTTTAAAATGTTACAAAGCATTATTGCATGAGATACAGATAAGTATGTAAATAGCACAGAATGCTATCTTGCAAAATACATGTATATCCTGGAATGTAAGGTCTGATAAACTTAAGTTTGACCAACGACGTCATTTTTTATATATTGACCGATTATTTTGGAACAATCAGAAAAAATGATATGTGATCACAGTACAAAAATATCTGATGACAGCGCTGTTGCAACAAACTTTTGATGTCGTCTACAAGCAAAGACATTGACATTGCCTCATTATAAAGTTATATGACAAAATAATGACTGACTTTTGCTTTTGATTAATATGTTTTTACAGACCTCATCCAAAGTCAATAATTGTATAATATTGCTATAAAAATTAAATATAAAGATGTTTCTTTTTCTTGGAAATGGTTATAATAATAATAATAATAATACATGTACATACATATAAAGCGTGATACCTCTGTGATCTTCCCTTTCCTATTATGGGTTTTGAAGTTTTTATAATCAAAGAAACACACATAACCTTTATATGAAAGAAACGCATATGTATATGGGTTGCATGCAAAATGATTCTTTTTAAGGTGTTTTTAGTATCACGAGTAATCGAAACGATACGTAGAAAAAATGCTCATATGTAAAATTACAAACTTACATTTGTACAACTGCCTTTGGCAGCATGAATACACAAAAAACTTAAATATGCATCGACAGAAAAGTGTGCAAAGAAATTTGCGCCCAGAAATTAAATTACAAGACGTCTGAAAGCGGCGTTTTTATTCCACTGTATGCGCCAAAAACGTGCAACTCAGAATCTCATCTTTAAAATATACAGTTCAACCTGAAATTGTGAGTCATGATGAAAACAGGCCTCTTGGTTCTTTTTCTTTACACAATGGGTGTGACTGAAATCATCACCCAGGATTCATCTAATTCAGGGCCCCGTAACTCGAAAGCATCGCGTATCCAGACCGAGCGCAAGCGTCTCGATTCCATAACTCGCCCATACTCGCCCCATATAAAATATTGTAGCCTCTATGTGATGTCGCTATTCGCAGTGCGCAATGCTTTCGAGTTACGTGGCCAGGGCACTATGTGGTAAACAGCTCGCACTGACCCTCAAGTCACAAGTCGTCATTGTTCTGTGCTGTGAATGTGACGATTTGCAGAAAATTTGCCACTAACAGTTTTGAACACCCTTGGTGTATTCTACGCATTTTACCAACGTCATCTATTATTTTTACGTCCAGTTTTATTCCATTCCTGACTATCTTCATGATAAATATCAAGTCTACGTGTCTTCATCGTCATCCTGAAGCAGATTGCAATCACAGCGATTTTTTCCACAGTAAACTACCACACGAAGCAGCAGACTCAACACCGTAAAGATGATAACAACACACATCACGGTGTAAAACCAAGGATCATTGCCACCACACGGTCGAGCATCGTGTCTGTGAAATGGGTTCAAAGCGTTCGCCTCGTCCGTAGAATTGCCAAAAGCAGTCCCGGTGAGATTAGCAGAGTCGCTCACAAGAAGGGGGAAAGAAATAAAGATGACGTTTTCTGTGAGGTACACCACGCTAACAATGGCAAAGATTATAATAGGCAAATCTTCGATAATGCAGAAAATGCTGATGATGCTAAGAGCAACGCGTATCACATAGCGCCTGATGAAGCTGCCAGAACAGATGCCGCCATTTGTACCGTTGGATTGACGGAGGCGACAGCAGCTGGAGATGAAGTAAACCACACCGTGGGGGATAATGACAATAAGAATCCAGTATTGAAAGCAAAGGGCACAGTAAACCAGTGCCAACAACCTGCCTATCATAAACATGACCATTTCAATGAAATACAGAAACGTGGCGCACGCTGATCGACTCCTTCCACCTGGGCGCGACTTTTGATAAGCCACAATGCCCCAAACGAGAGATATCATTGAAATGCTGCCAGATACCATCTGCCATATAGCCAACTCTGATTTCAGGTCTTGGTATTTCAGCAACAGAAACAAGTTGACCATTAACTGAGGGGCAGACTCCAGCATGCTTTGAAACAACTTGCATCGAGACAGAACTGGTTCTACCCCCAGGAAGAATAAAATATGTTCCCGCATTTCCTTTTCCACATCGGGTCTATCACGAGGAATGGTCTTGGTTCCAGAAAGATTGATCTGCTCTTGCATCCGATTCAGTGCCTCTTCATTGGCCTTGTAAGCGTAATACATGACGAGGAACCTTCTCTTGATAAGCTTCAGATGCAAGCCCCACATCCTTAAATGCGGCAATGGAAAGTCTAAGAGAAACCTGGCATATCTAGGAATTTTATTTATGATGGGAAATTCCGATACTCTGTCGAAGAGATGGTTGTCGACGAGGGCCATAAGTATATGAGCGGGAATTAACATGCCTATGGCTACCCAGACGGGCGTGCGATACCCTTCCCCCATTTGGTAGTATAACACGATGAGTATTATATCTGTAACCATGTCTGCCAGAATTAAGAATGTCATACACAGTGCTGACAGGAAGTTCAAGGATAAGGAAAACTTGAGTGCTTTATGTGAAACATTGATCAGCTTTTGTTTTGATTGCGGCCTGCTTCTACTGATCGGAAGTGAAAGGGTGTGCGGAGGAGAGTTGGGCAGGGAAACATTATCTTGTGATGAATTTTTCTCTGAATTTTCCTCCAGTTCGATCCCGCTCACATGTTGCTCTTTTTCTGCCATTCTGTCTCAAATTTTCTCAACGATGTTTTCTGAAAGGAAAATGATATTGATTTCATCACAAAATTAGGACAGGTACTAAAGGTTGTCTTATTTTTTTCCACTTAAAATGAAAGAATTGGACTGTGGACCTGGATCCGCCATTTTGATTTGTAAGGGGACAGGGAGGCAATATTCCCGCGTTTGCATAAAGAAATTGGCATAATTTATGCTTACTGATTTAATTTATGCACTGTTAGAAATAGTCTGTATACTCTTTTTTAGTCCAAGGAACATTCTTTTCAAGTTAGACATTTGTACTACAAAATGCAGCGTTTGCCCAATTTTCGGTCCTAAACAAGCCTACTACATGTAGTACTAAACTGGGGAACATAAATAATAAGCTGCAATATACTCGCATACATGTATTAATCAAGTCCACAGTGATCACTCCAGTGGCGGATTTAGAGGGGGTCGGGGGGGGGGGGGAATCCTGACCACCCCTTCGATTTCTGGGTCCTCTCTTGATATTAGATTTTTGACTAGCTGAATCATAGTACTAAACCGTACCAAATGGCACCGTTCGCCCTCTAAAATACCAAATTAGAGGGGATACTTTGCATCCGCGGACCCCCCCCCCCTCCTCAAATAAACCTGGATCCGCCCGTGCACTCTGTCAGGATAGTGTGTGTGTACATCGCCTTAGTATACCAAAAAGCATAACGCTGGACGTCCAGGTAACAATAAGCCGAGAAAAAAAAGAAATAAACCTACAGTACAGTAACAAAATCAAGTTAGACATCTTACACGAAGTTTCTTTCTCCTTCGACAATGCCCTGTTTAGTTGACCTACATGTACATGTATATAAAACAAATTCCTCATATTGGCCAGATATGTGCAGTTTTACAGACACTCTCTCTCTCTCTCTCTCTCTCTCTCTTACCGTTACAAGTCCTCCTAACTAATACCGATATGTGGTCTACTCTAATACTCTGTGAGAACAGATTATATTGAATATTTCATTATTTCACGGTATTTTTGCTCATTACTTCCTTGTCCCAGTCAGGTCATATTACAGGATCCTACAGTGACTAGTAAAATCCTTCTATCCCAGTCCTGGTTTAATTAATTTTTTTCTTCTGTTTGTTCATATTCGATGCAGTAATTACCAGGGGTGTATCCAGGATTTTTTGAAGGGGGGTCCACGGATGCGAAGCTGACCCCCCCCTCGAAGTGGGGGTCAGGACCCCCCTGGCACCTCCCTAAATCTGCCACTAAAGGGGAGAAGGGAAATTTCTTATCCCCTGTTGTTATTTTTTTTACTTAATTATTTTTCATTATCGTGTTTTTTTTTTTTTTTTTTTGTGAAAAGTTAGCNCCCCGCTACTAAAGGATCACGAAAAAATGGTATTTTGGAGGGCGAACGATGCCATTTGGTACAGTTTAGAACTATAATTCAGCTATTCAAAATTCTAATTTCAAGAGGGAACCATTGGAGTGATTTTTTTCAGAAATGGAAGGGGGGCAGGAACCCCTCACATCCCCCTAAATCCGCCACTGTATTACAATCATTATCGCTTTGCCCGCTTTAACAATGTCCAGTATTCCTGTTTTAAGAGTTGGGATTGGTTTCTTCAGCTCAGTCCGCAAAATTATTCCCCCAGCACTTTCACTTTTTAAGTGCTATGATCTTGTATCTATTGTCATTGTGAACGACTGTCATATCCCCTACATTGTCTAGTCAACCATGAAGACGTTTTTTTCAATTCGCCTAACTGTGTGGCCGATTTCAATGTCTCTATTTTTTTAATTATGGTAGGCCTACACTCACTTGGGGGCAGACCTGTCCTAAAGCCATTATTCTGTAGTATGTGTAATACAGAAGAATCAGTTAATTAAAGAGAGAGTCGGTGGGATGGAGAACGATTATTCGGACTGGTTTTCACGAAATTTAAATCAATGATATACTGTGAACCTACATGTACATGTTTATATACTTGGACAAAATATATCCATTCTATAGTACATCCAGTGACCTACCCTCTACCAGGGTGGCAGATATTAGGCCCCCAGGGAAATTTTGAAAAAGCCAGAGAATGAAATTACTGCCTGTTTATCAAAAGACATATATCCGTGAATATATCTTGTGAAAATTAATCTGCCGCCCTGGTAGAGGGTAAGTCAGATCGGTGTTTGGAAGTTGAAAACACAATATTGAGGCTCAGTTACGTGTACCACGCTCGACTGTCACCTTGGTTGGTTGATGAATCTGAAATAGGCTACACATACAATGTCTGACATTGTAGTAGTAGGCCTACATGTAAAAGGCGTAAAAAACGACCTGTGGATATCACAGTCAGTCTACAGTGTACCATAATGGGAACATCTGATCAAAATATAGGCCCCTATGTGGCGACTTTATTAAATTGATAAAAATAGTCTACCCAACCGATTCTGATCAGGTTTTTCAAATTACAATAGACTAATAGTGTGCACTGTAAGAGTGGTATTTTAAAATCTATTTACGTGAATTTTATATCTATCAACCAATCTGCAGTCCTACAAAACAGACATCAGGTATACGGGTCTCTGAAACTCCCTGCATGACAACTAACTACTCTGTGCTAGTACTAACCCTACTAGCAGTTCAGGACAGTGTCAGTGATAACGAAACCCTTATTTAATGTAGATCTACATGTACTTACAGTGTGCTTGAGTAAGTGTTCCTAACTGGATATACAGTTCGAGATTGTAGCCTTCCCTGTACTGGTCCTCGACGTCTAGAACAATATCTTAAAGGATCCGGAATATCAGCACTGTGCTTTGGTCCCGTACGACCATGATGAGTTTACCTTTGAGCATTAAAATTTTACCCTGGTGCTTTCTGTTTGCTGCCTGAGTTGGAGTCTTTTCAAATGCAAAGTAGGCCTACAATTCAAGAACTAGGTTAAATACACAGATTCTCATATTTCAGGTGCCTGATTGAGGCATCTCGGTTAAAAGTCCAACTGGTAGGCCTATGTAAAACCTGTTTTTAATTTTTTTAATTTTTAATTTTTCTCATACCTGTACGAATTTCGAATAAGCAGCTTAATTTAACATCAATCCTGTAAGGTCTGAAAGTGAAAGATCAAACATTTTTCTTGCAGACAAAAACCAGTACACGGTGTTTTAACATTTAGAAGTGCCTATGTTGATGAAACTTGCCTTAAGCACTTCCACAATACATATGAAAACCATTTTATTATTCTTGGATACTTGTATTTGTGATATTTAACAACGTATCCTTTTGAGTCCGTCAGCAAGGGTAGCATCTTGAACTCTGCGATCAGTTTGCCACCTAGCGGTAAATCCACGATGAAGGAAGACTCTAGGAACAAGTAAGGTGTTGATCAGGCACTGTTGGTGCAGTGCTGAAGTAGTTACATATACCCGTACGTACCTTTTGTTTTATTTATCAAAGCAACAAGGCGAAAGCTGAATATATATTGAAACAATTTTATTGTAGTAACAAACGTAAATTAATATAAGACTTGTTGCACCTTTATGTATTGTACGTACTGTAGCACGTTAGCACAGCCAGTACATGTACCTGTACATATCAGAATCGTCAACAGGAGTGTTAACGCATGAATTTTCGTGATACATGTATTGGTACAGTGTATTAATGTTAACGTGTGTGTTTCTGGGTGTGTGTGTGTGCGTGTGCGTGCTTTTTTGTCGTGGACCCATCATCATATTGTATACAGTACTGTATTATAATATATATGGACCCAAGGTGGCATACATGTAAACTTATGCGATTCTAGATGTTCGTCATCGTATTTATGTTTTATGTAGTAAATAATGCACTGTCCACGAGCCCGATATCACGATAGCAGGCCGAGCGCCAGCGAGGCATGCTATCGTGGATATCGGGCGAGGGGGTAAGAGTGCATTATTTGTCATACATACAAAGGGAAATCGTGCGTATTCCCCACCCAAAACCCCTAACTTTGAATAGAACACGCTGATATCACCGCGCATGGGGTGATATCAAAGAATGGACTTTCCCCGCGTTTACTGCCTAATTGCGGTCACCGTCCAATCATCTTCGTTTGCGTTAGTGGTTTTCTGAGTAGTTGGCCGATTTCCTGCCCATCTTCTGCACGTGGCAGTCACTCCGTCTCATTCATTGTATCGGTCCCTGCAATCCTTTTGTTTTGATATCAGCCCCGTGGTATGTATATTTAATAATGTGCTAGAGTAACAGCTAGGCTTGTAACTGGAGGGGGGAGGGGGATCAGGGGGTTCGGAAGAATCCGTTTTGCTTGGAAAAAAGGACTCCTCTGGGTAAAATTTTATCAAGGTACGCAAAGGTTTCATGGTAAAAGGTCCACTTTTCAGAAAAAGAACCCCTTTCTGAAATTGCAATTTATTACGGGTAAAGTACAACTGCATGGATGACGATACATAGTTTTCTTTTACAACATATATAGTTTATTTTATGACATGTACATGTATTTTCATGAACATCTTTCAGATCACATACTGTCCAGCTGAGGCATGGGTGTTAAAGGACTGTGGCCAGTCCTGGAGGATGTCAAGCAGGTGGTCACTCTGAGGTCACTGAGAGGTCAAACTGTGGCCATTGATCTCAGTGGGTGGATTGTCCAATCCCATGGGTTGAAAGACTACAAGGGCACACATCAACATTTACGGTAAATACCCATGAATGGTGTAAGGTGTACCAATATGTGCACGTATGTTGATTCAGCTCAGGATGCCAAGAGGGAGATTCCTGCTCTCTCTGTATTTCTATAATATTCAAATATTCAAATTATAGGCCTGATTTACCCACACTATAGTATACTGTTCTGTACTGGTAGATCAGCAGTCAAACAGTGAGCAGTTGAAATTTTGTTATTTTCTTTTTTTGCAACATTCATTGACAATGTGTAATACAATAAAAAGAACTTAAGTTGTACATGTAGCTCATTTTATGAAGTGGTATCAACATGGAGTGACATTATGTACAAAAAAGGACAGGAAAGGTTTTTTTAACTTGATGCTTTAAAATACTTATTATGATATGAATCAACCTGTTAGGAATGCATGTTATATAATATATGTGATCACAATTGATCAAAATCTGTTAAGTTGGTCTGTACATATACAGGTTGAATACGTGTGAGTGTGTACAGTATCACGTGTGTATAAAAATGTTTGTATATTTTTTTCAGGAACCTGTTTTTTAAGGTGAAGCGGTTTCTTATAGATGGGATCAATGCTGTGTTTGTATTGGATGGCTCAGAACCTGCCAGGCTGAAATATGAAACTGTCCGGAACAGACGGTCAGTGCAGAGTGGACACGTTGCTGATACTGACCAGTGTGACCAGCAGAAGGGATATCTTGGCGCCAGCTCTCACTGCGGGGAGGAAAGAGAAGGAATGGATGAGAGAATTGTTAGAAGTAAACGATTTGAACAGATAGTAGAGCAGGTCTGCATAAATGGTGGTTGAGATTATTTAGTACATATTATGAAAATATAGTGATGCTTGGTTGAAAATGTGGAATAAAATTACTGATTATCTATTTGTAAAAAGTTATCAGTAAGCTCAATCTTGCTTCCAAGAAATTTTATAATTTGTATTTATGTTGTTACTTTTTTAGTTCTAAAGTAAGTGATTTGTCTAATAAAAAAAAGTAAGTGATTACTATTACTAAAATGTCAGTAGATGTGAAAAGTTATTTGAATTTTCTTTTACAAATGAACCCATGGAAAGTTACTATGATAATGACTGATCTTTTCACCTAACTTAATTGAGTCTGTGATAGTGGCTCTGGCTTCATACGTGTCTGAAATGCCAGTGTAATTACAGCTTGGAAAGTAAAATTTTAGAAATGTGTACAGTGAATGGCCATAATTTATGCTGTGGGCCAGAGTTTCTTAGACCCTGGGGGTGGCTAAATAGTTATTGGCACAGACTGTTATTATGTGAGTTATATATCCTTAGGGGAGATGTGCTTTTTTCGGTGCTGTTATTTGTTGCAGCATTTGTTGTTCTCTAGAGTCCATAGGTGCAGTTTGTTTTGGATCCCCCTGTATCCATATATTGAATTGCTTCTTCCAGTGCCATGAATTGCAGCAGTATTTTGGATCCCCCTGTATCCATATATTGAAATGCTTCTTCCAGTGCCATGAATTGCAGCAGTATTTTCGGGTCCTCTGTTTCCATAGGTGCAATTGCCTTTTCAGTGTCGTGAATTGCTGCAGTATTTTGGGTTCCCCTGTATTCAGAGTCATCATGAAGGTGAGGCACTGTGTGGTCTACTGAATGAAAAGCAAATGGTGGATGCCGTGATGACAGATGACATGGATGCTTTCCTGTATGGTGCTCAGAGAGTCTACAGGAATCTGATGATAAACAACCACAGTGTAAGGGATGGTGCAGACTTTGCAATTACTAAAAAAATAATAATAATAATTGGTCAAGTATATTTTTTGAAAAAGACTAAACATGTTTTCACCAGCATGTTGTATTAACAAGCAACACAGATATAAAATTGTTATTATATAGATATTGATTTTAATATGACAGAATTATTGTTAAAAGATTTTATAATAACAGCTACTATTATGGCTACATCTCTTCACATCTGTATTTTTAGTCACATCAGTCCCGTGTAGACAGCTATGATATGTCTGATATTGAAGAAAAACTTTCTCTGGGTAGAGGACAGCTTGTCTGCTTGGCTGCCATGATGGGTTGCGACTACGATGCCAAGGGGATCCAAAAAGTGGGAAAAATAAAGGCACTTCCACTGGTGCAAAGATTTGGCAAGGAAGATGCAATTAAAAGGTTTTGATGTGTTAAAAATTGACAAATAAATAAACCTTTAATTTTAAATTGGACTTGAATGATAGTGATGAATACCTGTCTTTCACTGTAGTGTATTTTTTTTTTCTTTTCTTAATATGAGAGAATGACATTGCTTTCATAATATCACTCAAACCATTACCTGTAATTTCTTAAAACCATTTCATTGTTATGACAGTTTTCTTAGTCTTGATGTTGATTTACTCAGAGAGAAAATAATTAAAACCAAAATTTGAATCAAATAAATATTTTCCTTGTGGCTGTAGGTTTCTTAGTCTTGAGGATGATGTTGATTTACTGAGAGGAGAGAAGATAAAGCAAGATTTAAGTGGAATGAAAAAGGACAGCCACTGTTCTCAGTGCAGGCACCTAGGTAAGTATACTGTACCCCTAGTAGTGTGTGTAGCAGACCCATGCACGTATTTAGTTTACAAAGATGAACTCTGAGATGAGCAAATGAGTACTTTGTATTCAGTAGACCCAAGTCTTGTTCTAATAACTGGTATCATTATCTTGAATCATTTGGAACATTATTTACATTTTGTGCTTGCTGAGATAACTGTGGACAATGCTGAACTTGTATGGGTATATTTGTGTAACACAAGCAAATTTTCAGGTGCAAAGGTGTCCAAGTTATATGGAATCTGCTGTAGTAGACATTAAATAAACAAAAGAGATAGTTGAACAGTTTGAGAAAGAATGCCCCAATAAACCACTAAGACCCCATTCCACAGATTTTAGATTGATCTATCCCTGTGGGGAGTCTCACTAGATTACTGTGGCTTGAGCGTCTGTCCCGCCTACTAAAAGCTGTAAGGGGGTAATAATTACAGTGTGCGTTTGGCTGACAGCAATTTAGCGTGAACCCCCAGGGAGTTATGTCAATCTAGATGGATTGATCTAAATCTATGGGAATGCAGTCTAAGTTCGACAGTTTCTTTGTCTTAGATTAGTATTGAGTGATGGATAACAGTGGCTGAACAAAGGGCATTAGTCTGTCAGCAGAAAGGGCATGTGCTAAGCAACTCACACTTATCCATTTAAGGGGCACAATGTCTCAGCCACACCATCTCACTGAACTCTGTCTTTTTGTTTGGCCTGCACAGGTGCCCCTCAACAACATACTGTATGTCACAATTTTGATGGCAACAATTGGAGAGGTGTAGATATATAGATGCAGTTGTTGTAAACCATTTAAAGATTTTAAATGGATTAGAATTACCGTCTGTGGTGTCATTTACAGGTAATTATGTTAGCCACAAAAAGAATGGCTGTGAACAATGCAAGACCAAAGTTTCCTGTGATACTGAAGGAGAGATGTGTAATTGTGACTGGCACAACAAGAATTCTCAACTAGCGCAATATAGTGAAGCTGAGCTGAAGTTGAGGGCATTAGCCATGGAAACACCTGGGTATCCTGACAGACACAGGAAGGTGATCTTCTCTCTCTCTCTCTCTCTCTTTCACACACACACACACTCACACACACACACTCACACACACAAAAGGCTGTGCATCAAATTAGAAATGTGTCTTGGCATGCTGTAAAAAATTGTTATTTTTCCTCAGAGAGTTATAAATGATACAGCTGTACTGGTATTTTTGGGGGGTTTCTGCCATGGCATCAAATTTCAGGGGTCTTAACTTTCTTTTCAAAGATTTGCTTTTTGCTGCTTTGTCAGAAGCTAATAAAATGGTCATATCGAGTTCAAGTTCTTTAAAAAATTTTTATGTAAAATTGTTTGGCTGAGTCCACTGGATTACCATACTGTTACAGGTGCATTGCTAAAATATAACAATAAAAAGTGCATCTGATGTATTATATGGAAAACAGTGTAAAATAAAAATATACTTCAGAAGTTTGACAGTCAATGATATTGTGAATGCAATGAATGCATTTATTTTTGGGACTCCCCTATAATAACAGTAATGAACCTTGACCTTGGATGATGAAAATAAAAAAAAAAAATGGTATTAACTTAATTGATTTTGATGTGAGATTGTCAGCATGATATTGTTTAATAATGCCCAGTTTTTATTTACACAAGGTGATAAATGAGTATATGAACTCTGGGGAAGTATGTCCAGCTGAGAACTTTCAGTGGTCAAAGCCACAGATTGACAGAATACAGGTAAATACTTCAAATCTGAATTTTCTTTAAGAAGTGCTTCATCTTTGACTTTTGGTTTATTTCCTTCTTAGGGGTTATCACAGTGGATAGCACACCTCCACCTACACTGTTCCTGTCTTTTATGTCCTCCTCTACTTTGACCTTTTGCATAGCCTCTTTTAGAGCTGTATCCATAAATCTTTTCCTTGGTCTCCCTTCTTTTTATTTTTCCTGGTGGTTTCATTGCCCACATTATTTGACCAACATTGTCTTTTTTTTCTTCAAGAAGTGCATGATCTTATTTTGTTTTATAAACTTTAATATGCCTTTATGAAATAAACTTTCACATAGTTGATAAAGGTGATAGTCCTGTATAAGGTTTAAATGACAACCATGATTAAATGGAACAAGCCATAATATTTTGTACTAAAATACATTGCTGTATTATTTTAGTGTGTGCCTTGATTTCCAACTTACTATTTTGTCAATGAATTATCCAAATCAAAGGAAGCATGGTCCAATATAAAAGTAATGGTCCAGCAGTGGCACTCGTGTATAATCATTAAGTTGACAATTATAAACTATATCTTTTACAGAACTTCATGAAGAAATATCTGAAGTGGAATTATTCTAAGACTTCCAGTCATGTGATCCCTTGCCTCACATCCTGGGAGTTGAAACAAAGGAAAACAGAGAGCAGTGAAACAACCCCACTTATTATACCAGATAGGTACATGGTATATGCAGTGTGGTGATGTGTGGAAGAGGTGTTTTCTTTGGTTTTACCTGAATCTTATGAACTTTGCCAAACTTGAATCTTCATGTTCTGGTCTTGGAGTGTGTGAGGATGCGCTGTTAGGGAGTTTCAGTATACACATGTTAATGTAATAATGTACTATGTTTTATTTTACTTACACTGTGTTTTATGTACATAAGTGAAAAAACTTAATACTTTATTTAATTATTTATGTTTACGTTACTTGACCTAGTATAGAGGAAATGTAAAGTAAGCTATACCTGTCCAATTTCAAAATATACAGCACATTCTGCACATATATATATATATAAATTGTTTGTCTCTTGTTTCAGCATAATTTCTACTAAGAAAAAAGACCATCAAGATTGCTATGAGGTCAGGTGGCACATGTTGGGTGAGTCACATGATAAAATTCAAGATTTTTTATCTACTTGCACCGCACCATTAGTATTAAATGGAAAATTCAGTTAGCATAATGTGCAAAAATATTATAATTTTGGTTGTTGTTTTCTTATTCATAAGATGTATTATCTTAAGTTGAAAATACAAAACACCAAGGTATGCAGATCATTTATTGACTACTTAAATTAGTTAAAATGTAATAACAAGGTTTGTACAGCTATGTTTATTAATATCCACCATTGACAGAAAAAGATTTTTACATTTAATCTGACAGAAGTGATACTTTTTTTGCTTATTGGCTACAATAATTTTTTTACTGTCTGACGATTATTTATTAGATTATTACATTTCTTCTCCAGCTGTGGATTTGGCCTGTCTTGAAGAACCATATTATGTGACACTGGAGTGCAAGGAAGCATTTCATTTGAGATTCCCAGAGATGGCAGAGAAATTTGATGAGAAGACAAACTTAGAGAAAATCAAAAAGATGGAGGAAAAAAGAAGTGTAAAAAGTAAGCAAACATTGTTTTTTAAACATAATTTTTTCAGATTAACTGGAAATTGGTTCAAAATTTCAAGAAATGTCTTAGTACTAAAAAGGTCATTTTAATGAAAAAAAAAAAACTGTTTTGTATATTTCACTTGACCCAAACATTGCTACAAGTTTTAAAAAATAAATCCTGAGTATTGTAAGACTGTGTTTGGATTTATAAATTTTGATTACATATAAAATTTTTCAGAGATTTAATGGTACTGTATGCAGATTTTTTGTGGCTTTTATTTTCCTCAAACATATTTTAAAATTGCCTTAAATGAATTTTAAAGATAGCCTGCTCCTTGTGTCATAAAATATATTTTAAAGTTTTAAAACAATGTAAACCAAATACAATAAGATACTGATCTTTTTCATGATTCATTTCAATCTCAGCTCTCATTTCACAAGCACATTCACACGGAAAATACAAAATACTGGTAAAAACTTTTGACCTCCCCTTTCCTTAGGTCACTTCATAAGACAATTTTTTCAAGAGAACATCTTTGATAGCTATGATAAGTAGGCACTGGAAATTGCCTTTAGTTTTTATATTAATTTACTTTTAATGGAACATCCTGCTCATGGTTCTTTCAGCAGCTCCTAGAGTTTTGAAATTTTAACTGTATGTAGTTTTAAAATAACCATTTTAATGAAGAATAATGATATGATTTTTTAAGAGAGAAAACTGGACACCAAATCGAGCTTGAAACAACTAAAAATTCCGTTTCCTCAGAACAAATTACTAAACAGTGGGACCAGGAAGTTAGCATCAAAAACTGGCACTGATGGTGTTGGGTCACAACCCCAACTGTCCATTGAATCAAATTCCAGCAATCAAGAACATGCTGTGATTTCAACATCAATAAAGCGTAGCATTCCCTCAAGGAAAATGGACCAAAGAAAAACAAAGAAGGTGGCAAACAGAAACAGTAGAAGGACTGCCAAAAACAGGGAAAAGATGCCATCGATTTCCAGCTTTTTCACTGGCTGCCCCAAGAAAAAACAGAAATTGTCACTAGATGAAGAGGTCAATTTACAGGATGGGACTTTCTCTGGGTCGCCATTACTAGGGAGTGACAGTGACATCTCCAGCCCAACTGATCCAAGTTTCCAGCAGCAGCTCTGAATGTAGTCAAGACAACAGGGGTGTGTCATATACAGCAAGCACAGCTTTAAATGCCAGTTGTGTTTCAGCAGAAGAAAACATGGATTACTTTCCATCCAGCATGTCAGACCTTGACATTACTGCTGAGTCATTCATTACAGGAAGTGACCAATGCAACTTACAAAGCACAAGTTGAGATATCTCATTGGAATAAGCTTCGTACTTTAAATCTCAAAATCCCAGACTTGTATGTCAAAAAGAAGTTTTCTCTTCTTTTTCCCCAGGTTTTGGTCATAAATGATCTGTCGTAAGTAGAAAGATGTCCAGATCATGATGATTTTAACATCAGCTTGGAAGATGTATATTAATCCAGTGGTTGACTCAAGTCCAAGTGCATTTTTATGCATGTTGCTATCTCATTATATATTTATATGAGAAGTGTTGAATTTTATTGTTTATCTGGCAATGCTGGATTTTTCTTTTGTTAGAAGTTAGGTTTTTAGTAGATTTATTGACTCCTTCTGATTAAAATAGACTATTAATCAGAAGTAGAAGTTTGTGAAACCTTTAAATTGGTTGAAACAGCTTTATTTTAAAAATCACTTGTTGTTTGTGTTTTTAGTAGCTTGTTACAGTACTTCTCTGATGAATTACTGTGCTTTTAAATTATTTTTTGTTTTATTGAAGCATGGATGGATAATTGGCGAAATATCAGATGCCAGTTGAGGTGCTATGAATATTTAATCTTATTGTATAATCTGCATGTTAACATAACCAGAAAACTGTGACCAGAAGTTAGTTTTTTATCAATTTACGCAACCTTGTACTTTTAATTATCAATGTACAAAATGTACAGAAAGCTATAATATATACATAAACACGTCTGTAAACTTAATTATTTGAGAAAATGTGGTGCTGATTGAATATATTTTAATATGTTGAAAACGCAAGTGTCAGAAATTTTCTGAGAAGGCCCAGTTTCACACATCAGTAAACAAAATATTGGATCAAAGTTTGGGCTATTAGTAACAGTTTACATCAACTTTATTTATTCCTATTCATGACCAGGTTTAATGATTTTTAGACTCCAAAAATTAAATGAACTTATACATTCTTTGTATGAAGCAATTTACACTGTATTTAAATGTAAGATGATGATTTTAGCAGCTTAGGCTGTAAGTGATTTTCAGCTTGTTGTTTTTTAAATGCACAACTTCTTATTTTCCTTTTAAAATATGGGCAGATAGTTCTTTGAAATTATTTTCTTTTCATGAACTTTTAGAATCACTACAATAATTTGATTTGAATAGAATTATCTCTGTATGGTGAAACTTGGGTAATTATTGCCATTAATGCATGGCAAGAGTCGACAAGTTCTTTTGTTGTAATCAAAGAAACATTTTTTTGGATTATAATTTTATCCTGTATAATTTTTCCTATCTGCATGTTTTCAGTGAGATAAGTCATCATGTTTAGTGCCATAAATTATATATTATAACAAAGAAAAAATGTCATCATGTTTAGTGCCAATAAATTATATATTATAACAAAGAAAAAATGTCATCATGTTTAGTGCCATAAATTATATATTATAACAAAGAAAAAATACAATGACAAATAATTTAGAAAAATATAGCAAAAAGAATCAAAAGTGTCTTCATTAATTTATTATCTTATTTATAACAGTTTAAGTAGCAAATTGTCACAATATATGTTTTTTCATAGGGCACATCTTGTAACAGTGGTAACAAAGACAGTAACACCAAAGTTACACATTCGTGTCCACATGCATTAAAAATTTCGACTCGTATGACCTCAACAGACAACAATGGCATAGACGATAACAAGTGCTCTGATAAATCTGCAGATCAACAATATGGATTACCATAAATTTTTAAATAACAGCCATTTGTAATAAAATAGAAGTAATTGCTGCTGTGATACTAAATCTTTCTGAAAATATTACTTGTTTATCAAAGCAGTGCCCAAACATTTCATTTCTAAAATATAGTTGTTTTTAACACACAATGTTCAATACTCTTTCAGAATATAATTTTCTCAGGGAAAGGAACAGACCTCTATGTAAAATACTGATACCATTCACCATTAAGAGATTGTCTAAATTCTCAATAATACTGTACTGGACAGAAGAGTGTCAATTCATGTGGATAAACTAGTTTGCTAGGCTAGCTAGCTTCAGGTATTTTGTTCATCTGATTTCTCATCAGTGAAAGCGGAGTCAGATGAATCCGAAGACGTGACTATGGTACACTGTGAATTGTGAAGACTGGCATTCTGGTGATCCTAAAAGTACAATTATTTAATCCCTTCATACTAATGGAATAAAAAGACATTAAATCCTTTAAAAGTACGATGCTTGTATATTGTAAAGCATTGAGAAGTAGAGTAGTATGCAAAATTACAACAGACGGCATGCTTTGCTACCTTAATTTTGTATACAAGACTGGAAGAATTCAGAACACATTCGGATAATTGAACAAAGTCCTTTCAAAATTTATGCATCATTTTCTTTCTGCATTTAAAATATTTTGAGTTGATGCTTTTGTCAAAAGTAGGACGTATTTTTTTATTAATGTAAAGAAGTCGGTGTGTAGCTCTATTGGGGGGGGGGGTAAATAAACATCCAAATATCTGGAAAAATCCAGGACTTTTATCTCTACATTATATTTTTACTTCTAAAACTGTACCAAAAAATCTCTTACACTTTCATCTTCTTCACTAGCAAATGCAGGGTTATGGAAGGCATGTTCTACCAAGTGTTCTTCATCCGTCTGCTTTACTTGGTTGTGTCTGTTGCTATACTTGATTAGGAGAAGATGTGATTTCATTCTGAAAATGAAAAAATGTAAAAATTAGCTTTTGAGCACCACTGTTTGATTAGGTGTTCGTATACTAAATGCATGCAACTCTTAAGTTCATCTAGAAGTAAAATTCCAGTCTTAAAACCTTTACATCACACTTTTAAGCATGGAAGCCAAGAAAACAAAGGACAGTAAACACACACACGCACACAAAATTTTATTAATTAATTTTTACACCAGTTTGCAAGTACCCTCCAAGATCCATATAAAACCTGTCCTGTGTACCGCACTACATGCTGGGCACCTACCTCTGTTTCTTACAATAACAGGACACAGCAGCAACGATGACCGTGATGACAACCAGGACAGACATCACGGGGATGACTACAATGCTCAGGTCACCAGCTTCCTCCTTCCCCTCAGGTTTCTCATTGGTCAGATTGGATGAGATCATGACCTCACAACTGGGGCCAGTAAAACCTTTCCAACATCTGAAATAGAGGAGTAATGCTAAAATCACTAAAGACACGTGATGTTCATTAGAGCCCAAAACTTTAACTTCAGATTTTTACCTTAATTCTGAAAAAAAAACTATACTAAGCAGGGGTGGCAAAATTAGCAAAAAATAAAAAATTCCCAATTTCATACAAAATGTGCTCAAAATCAGTCTACCATACATATCTTTGAACATCTAAAGATACCAGCTGTTCAATATTAGAGCCCAAAATTTCAGATGGATTTTTACTTAAATTTTGAAAAGCATCAATATGGGAGGTTACAAAATCAGAAAAAAAACTCTACAGTTCATCTTAAATGTGGAAAAAAATCACTTGACTTACACACAAATGCCTCCCTCACAATTTCCTCCATTTAAACATGTGGCAATGCATAGTTTGGTTTTGTTTGGCAAATCAATGTTTACAGAAGGACCTAATATGACATGAAAAAAATGTATAACCATGATAAAAATATTATTAAAAAAATAGAAAAATATATGGTGAAAGTGTATTCCTAGAGGCAATATGGAAGAAAAACATCAAATATCTGTAGTAAAATATACAGACAGTTAATTTTCAGAGAACATCAAAATTCTCTAATAAAATATCCTGACAGTTAATTTTCTGTAATGTCATCTAAAGCCAACTTCAATAAGTTATCTAACGCATTATACCACATGGATCTCCTCATTAACACTGATCAAGTAAATGTCACACAAGTTACTCACCTTCATTATCCACATGTTCTCTCTCTGGATATCCATTACTGGGGACTTGAACTGTCACCATGGAAATTGATTTTGTGTGGGCCCCTTGTGCTTCATGTTCATTCAATGTCCTTGTAGTTGTACTACTCACAGTTGTTACATCACCCCCAGACTCTCCTTTTACATTATCCAATTGATTCCTGGCTGTCACAGTGGGAGGTGTCAGTTTGTGTGTTGCTATAGGGTGTTTGTAACTCACTGGAATTGTCATGGTAACATCAGTGTCAATGGCAACGGACCCACCTCTTGGCACTGCAGGATATTCAGTTGTCATGGTTGATGCCGTCTGTTGTTTTTCAGTAACCCCTTCTTGAGGTTTAAGAAGTTCCAAATTTGACTCATGCACAGCTTTTGTACTAGGACCAAAGAAACTTTTGGCAGTGGATGCAGATAAAGAAATTGTATTTTTTCTGTCCAGATAAACAGGAGTAGTAGCGACAGAACTAATACCAGAAATCTCAGGTGTTGCACCACTGGTAAAGGGTTTTGTAATTTGACACAAGTGGCCAGCTTCCAGTGTGTATCCTCTTGGACATGCACAGCTGGCTCCACCTGGTTTCAGCAGACAGAGGTGACTACACTTGGGTTGGAGGGGTTCACAATAATTATACCCTATACGAAAGAAAATCATTTGATACATGTCATTGAAAAAAATATCTGCGATACCACTGAATATATACCTGTTATAGAAATCTAAAGATGAATTTATTTGTGCTGTGTGTTAGGAGAATTGATGAAAAAATAAATTTCAACATCATTAGCTATGACTATATAATCATATAGTGGTGATTCACAAACGAATTCACAACCAACTTATGAATGAGCATTACAATTTAAAGCCATTTATTTTTTCAAACTTTCAAACTATTTTATTTAACATTTTCTAAAAACAGAAAATTACCTGTAGGTTGTCGTAAAGGGTGATAGACCTGTATCCCCATTGGTCTGTGGAATAATTCAGGCAGAGAGGTTCTGTTGTCCCCACTGAACTTGTTAAGTACTGTCACTGTACCTGTAGTCCACTCTGAGACATACAGGGTGTCCTCAAATACTGTGACACTGAATGGGTGCTGCATGCCCCTGCTTGTTACCACTCGCCTAGAGGGGTAAACAAATATATGCTTACTGACTACCCTCTACCAGGGCAATATATTGAATTTTCACAGATATGTCTCTTGATAAAAATACAGTCATTTTGGTCTGGGTTGTTTTTCCCTATATAATCTGCCACCCTGGTAGAGGGTACTGCATAGTAGGTAATTCAATAAATTTTCAAACTACTTAAATTACCTCTAATGTTTTTCACTTTTTGCTGCAGTAGATTGCTTAATAATTCAAAAGATCTGCTACATGTACCATAATGATTTATGTATGTTTTGTTGTTTTTCTTGAAACAGATGTTCTGATTTTAATATTATTCCATATAAATCTAACAAGAACATCAACTTGAAGTATACAGCTATAAGCACAGTGTACAGTTATGATTTGATCTTCCAATGGCCAAAATAGTGAATTTTAGAGACCAATACTGTACTTTTTAAGTCAAAAATTCTTTAAAAAAGAACATTCTAATTAAGTGGCAGCGACAACATTGAAAAGATGACTATACCCTATATTTATATTCAAAACAGTATAAGCTAGCACAACAAATGCTATACAGAAATATAAATTGTACAATTCCAAAATTACATATCTGAAGGATTGATAAATTTTTCATGGAAAAGACAGAGTCAATACTGTAATCCTACCCCCCCCCCCCCAAAACCCTACCTGTGTTGCCCATTAAAGTCTGCCACCTCAATGTGGTCAAACTTTGCATCCACCCAGTACAGCCTGTCCAGCACAAAGTCCACAGTCAGTCCATTCGGCCAGATGACCTTGTCCCCAATGACCAGCTGTCTGTGCTGGCCGTCCATCCAGGCTCTCTCTATCTTGGCATCATACCCCCAGTCAGACCAGAACATTAGCCTGACACACCAGGAGAACATTTATATATTAATGATATCGAAGAAAAATAATGTAGAAGAAAATTAACAAAGTGGCCAGGATATACGAGTTTTTTCCCACAAAAGCAATGAACATTTTGAGTCCTGCCAGTGAAAGGTATGCACACTTGCACTCTGTGTAATATATTTACTTAATTAATTGATTAATAAAGTAAATAACACAAAAAATGGTAACTTATTACAAACATGATTGTCAATGGACATCAGGTTTCAACACTTATTCACTCTAACCATATCTCAAGAAACACGCCAAAACAATTATCATTACTAAGCTCTGTAGCAGCTAGCTGTCTCGCCAGATAACAAGATCAAATCCCAATGCACATCATCTAATCACTCACCCTATCTTAGGATGTAACACAATAGCTCTGGGCTGGTCCAAACTTTTGTGTATTAACACAGAACATACATCTCCATCACCACTGCAGGCTGTGACTTGTTTGGTTCCAGCATCTGATGGAGAGAAGACATTAAAATGGACAGGTGGGTCCAGGGATTGATTACGCACTTTCACTGTCACCTTGCTTTTTTGGCATTCTCTCTTTCTACAGTAGCACAATGTTCTAAGTTTTCCAGTTTATATTTGCAGCTCATTAGTATTCTCACTGCCCTTAAGTACAGGCACATACATTAAAGCTTTTATTATGTCCCAATATGTGCTTAATTCACAACTAATGTGAGGTAGTCAATCTGTTGATGCAATTTTAGAATCATTAAAAATATATTTCTGTGTAGCATTTTTGTTGCTTTTATTGTATAGAATAGAAGTAAAAAAAACATAGCCTGCAAAACATAGTTTTGCTTTTACCATACGATAGGAATGTTTCAATTTCAAGAATTTGTGACTTTAAAAAATATGTGTACAGCATCTATAAAACTCACGATTTTCCACACTGAAAAGATCGAGTCAAATAATGAATTCACAGTAAATTTTGGAAATATCAAGGTTACTAGTTAAACTAACAGCAGTGCAGTACAGCAACGTTTTCAAATCTGCAACAAAAATTACAAAATTAAAAAATAAATAAATACATAAAGGACCTTTAATGGTGAAATTTATAATTAAGCTTGATTTGATTCATGGGTAATCTGAAGGTTTCAAATTTTTGCCAGAAAGAAGTATTATTTCATCCAGAAAACAGTATTATACCTGTGTAGTATATATTGCCTGCTACCCAGTCCACTGCTAGTCCATCTGGTCTGGACAACCCGGTCACTACTGACCTGTGGACACCCTGGTCACCACTTCCTCCTGCCTTCATTGACTTGATAGTGTCCTAGGAAAATTATTCAAAATTAGTGTATGACTCAAGAAAACTAAAAAGTACATCTCCTCCCCCCCCCCTCCACCCACAAAAAAAATGATACAATTAATTATAGATTGAATCTGAAACTATTTTTCTTTTCTGTATTCTTTCTCTCTCTTTTCTTTTTTTGCTTCAACAATATATTTACCAGACGAGTATTGCAAAACATATCCATGTTTCTCCATTATTTTTACAAAAATATCTGTTTTTACATTTCATCTTTCTAATTAAACAAATAAACATTTTATGCACAATGCTCTAAACAAATTGGTCCCGTTCTCTCCTGACCTCTGTAAGGACAACTGACAATTTGCGATAAACTTTTTTTTCTTCTACTGTCACGCAAACTAGAAAAGTTCACCCCAGTTCCCTTACAGCCTCACTCCAGTAGATGGTTTGTGTCAGCCAATCATAGTCTAGAGCTATAATCAAGTGCTGACTGGTGACAACTGCAGACAGGTGACTGCCGTCACGATGGCTGGTAAACACTGAAGCTCCAGCAGCAAACAGGAGGCTGGGGACTGGGCCTGTAATGTAATGGAATATATCAGATCAGTGACATAAATCTATATATATTTTGTTTGTTTTAATTTTGTAAGGTGCTTTTGTCTGTGGAAGGGTAGGGTGTTGTAGATTTTCAAATATTAAAATGACATTTAAATTAATTTACAGACACATTAAATCAATGAACTGATAATTAAAAACAAATCTCCAGCTCATTCAAAATTCATATAAATTCATAAAAAAAAACAACAAATCCATTCTATGGCATAGACACACAGTAAATAAACTGGGTATGTAAGACAATTAACCAACCCCACTAGATAATAACTGAACAAACTTCACATAATATCCTACATCACCTCCGCAGACCTACATTCATATGCAAGCTTATCTTATCAAGGACACCCTGAGTACTGGAGGTCAGGTCACCACTGGAGGGGACAGATTATAAGTAATGAGGCATCTCCAGTGACCTCAGACACCCAGGGTGAGGTACAGGGGTTTAGTGTGTGACCCTTAGCGGCTGTAGGAACCAGAGCATGATATGACACACGTAAAGTAACGTTGTTGGTTCACTGGTGGCACACTGAGCTAGGACACTACCATAAAACCACTGCATGGTGACATTTTCATGAAAGCATTCGAGTGACAGACTGAGCAGGTGAGAATATATTATTACTGTAACTCTATGTCATTCATAACCTTTCATCTTTTGGCTGGAATGCCACAAGATGGTGTCTATACACAAAAGAATTATATTAAGGTTACCATTACAAAAATATTATCATGATCTCTAGCAGGTCTGTAGGTGGGGAGGGGGAGGGGTGGTAAGGGTGGGGATGGTAAGGGTGGAGGTCGTAAGGGTGGGGGATTCAAACAAACTTCCTTTTTGGTCAGATAAGGTCTGTTTTGAAACAAAATTTTATCTAGGTATGGTGTCATTTCTCATGCTGGGTCTGCTAAAGGGATAAAGAGGTCCATCTTTTACATTTGTAACACACAAAAACAATCCTCAGCCATTTAGAAAATATTGACTTCAGGCCTGTCAGATGATTAAATATCTACCAAAGTACACATACATGTATCTATCATGGCTGACTATGTCATTGACAGCAATTATCACTTTTGGCCAGGTATATCAAGCACAATTATAATAATTACACAGTCAACCAAGGTCAGCATATTATCAAACTGGGAATGAAATAATTATTTTCTTATCTTTCTAGTAAAGCCAATTCAATTAGGTGAATTAACCTGGCTTCAGCAGGAAACTTTAAGCAACCATGTTCCAATTTTCTTATTTATCGAGGTTCTATATAGAGATAGTACACAAAGGGACAGAAAAACCACCAATTCAACTGAGGCAAAGACCTATCAGAAACGGACAGATTTAAAATTAACCTATTCAATAGAATTAGTAATAAAGAGGTTTAAGTACATGCTAATAAAAATAAAAATTAAAAAAAATAATTAAAAAAAAAAAACAGTGCTATTCATCCACATGCAGTGTAAGTCTAATCCTAATATTTCCACAGACCCACAGTGGCCATGTCTTATGACACCAGTCAGAAGTTCACTTTGTTTGATGCCAGACTCCACCGAAACAGCAGCCTTGGGAGACAAGCCCATTGCTTTAATATAGAGAAAAACCCACACAAGACACCTAATATATGTGGACTCACTGTGAACCACCGGAATGATATAGTATTGATGGATGGAAAAGCACAAAGGCTGAAGGTCATCAATTTGTATTCCATTCAAATTATATAATTTTCTCATTTAAATTATCAATTGATAAATTAGTTCTATTTAATTTGACTGAGTATAGTTGGGAATATTCACTGATTATGAATTTAATTTACCAATCAATATTATTAATTCTGATCTTATTGTCAATGTTTGGATTATTCGCTGAAACTATTAATCAAACAGAATTCAGTCCTATCAAATGAAATAATTATTTTAAGTTACTTAATTTTCATAGTCATTTAGTTCATGTTCATTTCATACAAAGTTTTCAACCAGAATAATAGTTGTACATACGTTACCAAATTGAAGGCTTGATTATGTTACACAGCCACTAACAATCTCTATTAATATGCATCATTTGATAAAATAACTGAACACAAAAAAATACCAGTAAAATTATAACACTGTCCTAATGGTTTCACAACAAAACAATCTAAAGGTTTACTAAAAATTTTGCAAAAAAAAAGCAATATGAATTAAACAACTAGCTTCACAAGATTTTTATACACATAAAAAATTAAATATTAACACGTTTTCAATTCTTCTCATTTAGACATTTCGGTACAGTGGAACCCAAAGGCATCAATTTGGCTCCACGTTATTCAGCAAGATATTTGTCCAGCCTAAAGATGTGGCTATCCTGTCCAACAGGAACATAGCCATAGCTGACCCAGGGGATGGAGTGGCTAAGATATATGACCGGACTGGTCACTACTTGCTCCAGTGTGGACGCGACCTCCTGATGTCACCCTGCAGCGTGACGACCAATCACAAGGGAGAAATCCTCCTATTGGATAGTTATTTACGCCAGGTTCATTTCTTCACCCCTCATGGGCACCACCTGCGCCACATACCAATAGAAATCACCCAGGAGATGGACGACGACTGCTACATCGCGGTTAATAAATTTAATGGCGACATTCTACTGTCTGACAACATTGGCAACAAGGTGAAAGCTTTCAGTCAGAAAGGAGAACTGCTGTGGGAACAGTGTGGGCTTGAAGAGGGACAAGTCCAGATGCTTGACCCCTGTGGCATATGCTCAGATATCTATGGCAATGTATTTGTTGCTGAGAAAAATAACTATAAAGTCACAATGCTCTCTCATGACGGCACATTTAAGGGGTATATCGCCACTGAGGATAACAAGATAGATGTCCCACAGGTGGTGGCAATAGACAACTACGGGCAATTGGTGGTTGGGGAGGCATACAGCGGGAAAGTCAAGTTCTTCACGTACCAACCATGAAGGAAGTGTTCATAATCTAGAGAACACTTCAAAGTACAAGCAAAAAAAGTTGTTTTGAAAATGCAAAGAAACCTGAATTCAGATAAAATTATATTCCACCTAGAAACCATCAACACAATTTGTGAAGAGAAATTTTTAGATGCATCCTGTCCACTTACTAATGGACAATCAAACGAGCTTCAAGGCATGTGAGCAATACGAACTACATGCTGTGGAGAGTGAAATTTGTCTGTTGTGCCTTAACAGGATAAAAAACTAAAAACTCCAGACCTATGACTCCCAAGCATAATTTTACATTAAAAAAAAAGGGGAAAGTGACTCAAAAATCATTTATGACTCAGCTGAAACAAGTCACTTAACTTAGAACCTATCAACATATCCTGATTTTTTTTTTCTTTTTTTTTGGTATTCTTCCTTCAGTATTCTTATTGAGAGTATTGATATTTTCTTGTAAACTTCACTTAATATCATGCACATTAAACTTTAGTGATGAGGCATGTGATATAACATAATGGGAGAAGAAAAACAGATTTCATTCACATTTAAAGTGCCAAATATTCTGTGATACTTATCATAAAATGGAATTTCCATTGACAATTTTTGAAATCATCATCATGATCATTATTTCATATCAAGTTGTATTTTCAATAATTTATGATTAGCAAAAAAAAAAAAGCTGAAATTACTTTCAATAAAAAATTCATAATTTTTATCAAATAACTTCTAGCTAGTTGGTGTTAATCATTTCATCTTCTCAACTTTGACAGAAGTGAGAAGTCTAAAAAAAATCAATATCTCTATTCCACAATGAGCTAAGTACAACCAAATACAGAACAACATATATTGTTTTTATGCCCATCCTTGTTAGCACCCACACTCAGTCACACCAGAGTTGTCCAAGGAGGTGTTAATATCAAGGCTACATACTTCATTAATACTTCAGCCTAGGAGAATATGTTTCTGGTTCTGTTAATGCTTTGTTTGTGAGTTTTTCTGTCAGCAACTTTATGCAAAGAGTTATGGATCGATTCTGATGACATTTTTATGATAGGTCAGAAATGGAACAAAGAACAAATGATTAGATTTTGGTGGTGATACGTACATCACTTAAGTAAAGGTTAATTTATTTAGTAATTATTTATTTATCTTGGTGGAGGTCCCAGAGTGCTTTTCTAGCTATCTTTATGTTACCTGTACTAGCTTTACATGTCTTCTCATCAGACTGTAGCTGGTATCCATGCTTGCAGTCACACCTGTAGCTGCCCTTGGTGTTAAAGCACACCTGGTCACAGAGGGGAACAGTGACACTGATAGGCTGGTCACATTCATTCACATCTGAAAGTTAATATAGAGCAGGCCTCATAACTTACGGTGCATTTGCAAAGAAAATTTTTTGTTGAAGTGAATATGAAGACAGCCAAACTTGAGTCTATGCATAACTCAAACAAATGTTCTAGGTCCAAAATGTCTAAGGGTGTGTTCACAATAAACTATCATACAAGGCAGTACGAACTTACTCTGCAGGGACAGATTAGCAAGCCTCCTCTTGTTTCCCACTTTCTCATATAATTACCAGCTTTTCTGCAATCTACTCCTCCCCAAGAAGACTGTTAATCTTTTAATCTGGTTGCATTTAATCACCATAAAGTTTATGAATATAAATATGATATTGTTAGCTGCAGAAGTTGCTATTAACTGCCTTGATTATTATTATTATTTCCATCTACCATTATTTCTATCTACCTAATGTAATCTCTTGCACTTTTATCTAAACTGTGCAAACAGAATGACATGTGTGCACCTGTTATGTGTGCACGTCATGTGCTTGCATATTTTAATGTTCACATGTATGTTTTCAAGCATAATTGCATGCCTGCAGAAGCATGTGTGTGAAGTTTGTGTGAAAGCATGCATATGTGGCATGAAAGCGTGTGTGTGTGTGTGTGTGTGTGTGTGTGTGTGCATCAAAGCTGTACATACCTATGCAGACCATTCCATCACTGAGTAGAGTAAAGCCCTCTCTACACTGACACACAGGGCCTGCAGGGGTGCTGCAGCATATGTCACTACAACCCCCCTTCAGGGTGGAACAGGAGCTGTCTGGAAAAGATAACCAAAAGCTGTCACTGTGACACTACACACACAATCCTCAATGTCACATCTTCATCTTGACCTCTTTTTCACGGTTACACACAGCACACTAATACAGACTACATCATTGTCACACTTAACATAATTTCCATCTTGTCACAATCACCTCCCCATCAAAACCTGCACACCACCACATAGCCTCATTGTCAAACCTATATATCACTGTTGAACTATGCTCCTTTATCATTGCCACAAAATCACACAAACACATGCACTGTCACATCTTAATACACTAGCTGTCACACCTAAGACACTGTCACACCTAACACACTGTCACAACTAACACAACTTGTCACAACACACTGTCACAACTAACACACTGTCACAACACACTGTCACAACTAACACACTGTCACAACACACTGTCACACCCAACACACCGTCACAACTAACACACTGTCACAACTAACACACTGCCACACCAAATACACTGCAATGCCAAACTCACCCTACCTACCACATTGTCCTCCCTCGTCTGATCCGTCTCTACAGTGCTGGGTGCCATCACACACCTGCTGGTAGACCAGACACTCCCCACTGCCACACTGGTACATGTCTGCACCACACACAGCAGCTGGAAATGTATTGTTTTATTTCAATAAATTAGACTAAATAATTTCACTACAGAATGCAATGACAGAATGCAATAAAAATGCTTATTAATAATTATAAGCATTATCTTTAACTTGCACTTGCTATTCAACTTTTAATGAGTTTCATCAGTCTATAACTTCTTACTTTATCTGATAATATTTATGTGGTTTAAATATAATTGTTATTACAACTGAGCTCAGAAATATTGAAAATTTACCAAAAGTCACAATTTCTAACAACTTAAATCATGAGCAAAAATGTTCATTAGCTTGGTAGTTGGATAAACATGAAAATTCTCAGACACAAGCCTAAAATTTTCCGTACCGTTAGCTTACGCCCAACCTGGTCACGTCAGTCTGATGAAGGCCTTCGACCAGGTTGGCCGTAAGCTAACGGTACGGAAAATTTTAGGCTTGTGTCTGAGAATTTTCATGTTTAACTTAAATCATGGTTACTTTTTATAACGCCGCCCCTCCTTTTTTAATGGCTTGTGTTACATGAACACAATGTATGTATGCTCACAGTGTTATTGTTGGACAAAAGTTGGGTTACTCATTGCAGCTTGGGGTGTTTACCCCAGAGGTGTCACCTCTAATCTTGGACGGATTTAGGCCAACTTCTGGGTCTTCCGGATGACGGTCACATTTTCAAGTTTACATTGATGGGTATCTAATTTTTTCTGTGAGAAGATGGTCAAAAATGAAGGATGAATCAACAAAGATAATTTGGAAGACTGTCAGAAAATATCTTTGGGTCTGCCCCTGCTAATACTCCATGATTATGGCTGTTAACAATAGAGTTACTATATAAGGTATCAAACAGATAACATTCTGGAGTGTTCTTTATGAGCTCAACTGTTTATCATATTATTATTATTATTTTTACTAAATAACTGCTATAATCAGAGTTCCATCTGAGTACTGGTCTTAAGCCATTGGCAATATAAAATATTATTGTGGTAAATCACACTTAGGGTATAACATGCTTTTACGGAAACAATTAACAAAACAGAGATATGTCAGTAAAAGTGACATCTATTGTGCAAAGCCACAGTATGTTGTCAAAATTTCAGATAAAAAAAAGAGTCCAGAAAAAATAGGTTAAAATAATTAAGAGAAGCAAAACTTAAAGAACACTACCACTGTCTATATTTCCATTATTGTCTATCTTCTGCACCATATCTGTCCCTGGGCGGCTACACTCAGACTCGTCCACTCCGTCTTCGCAGTCTCGGAAACCGTCACACACCCAGTGACCGGGTATACATGTATTATTATCACCACAGAGGAACTCAGAAATGTCACAGGTGACCAGACCTAGAAGATAAAGGTCCCTGGATGTCACACACTGCGGTGAGACAACTAAAGGGCAGGGTGTGTCACTCCTGGTGACTGAGACCACAACAGAGCTCAAAATAGTCAAATATTAAAAGTATATGTAACTGGAAACTGAAAACCATGCAGAGTCACGATGAAACAAGCAATTCTGTGTCATTCTGTACAATAAATTATTTCATCAGCTAGAGAGGCCTAATTGTTTGGCAAAGTAAGATTAGGAATCCAATCATTGATTTTCACTCATTTTACACCTAGTGTATTACCATGATATATCCTATACCACAGTCCATGTAGAAAACAACTGTCCAGATATAAAGTCTTTCACATCATGAATGTAATATTATCTTTCACACTTGGTGTTTTCTTCTCAACACCATTGTGGTATATTGGACAACAAGGTGTAAATGAGTGAGTCCAAGTTATTAAGATACAAATTTGTTGAAAATATCGCTAATGCCAGGCACTGTGTTATCTGTTATGTGTTGGTTACATAATCTTTACCACAGTTTTTTTCATCCTCCCCCAGAGGGCACTGCTGGTGCTCATCACAGACCTGGTGCGGTGGCAGACAGGGGCCCATGGTACATTGAAACCAGGGGGGAGAACACTCAGATGCCACACCTGAAATAAAATGCGATATCTCAATGAGATGTCAGGAATACAGGGATGAGACTGCCAATTGGTGAAAAAGTCAGTAAATAGGGGGACATGGGGTCCAGTGGGCCACATAGGCCAATAATAGTTTTGGCTCCCAAAAAGTCAAAAAATCTGTCGATAGTGGGAAAAATCTCATCCTTAGTAATAGATAACACTTTGTTGATTCTATGTGAAATATCTATAGTCTCCTGTGACAATCAAGTACATATCTCTGCATATTTGCAAAGGTTGTTGCTGTGATAACTCAAAACACCAAAAGAACAAGACCAATTAACATACAGGAACACCCCCAAAATCAGTAATTTGAATTTGATTGAAATTTATCCAAGTCAAATTGCATGTGCTGGGGCAAAATGGCACACACTCATGTTTGTCTTCTGACAAATAACAAACATGTTTTTAAATCTCAGTTAGTGACATTTTTATAGCTGGTTACCAAAAAATCAAAATACAGACATGCAACCACATTATAAAATAGAGTCATTTCAGCAAAGGTTTTCACATTACCACAGGTCACTTCATCTGAGTGGTCAGAACAGTCAGGTTTCCCGTCACACCTCAGAGACTTGGCTATACAGGCGTTGTTCCCACATCGCCACTCCTCTGCCTGGCAAGGAGCCAACAAGCCTGGAATTTAGCAAAATTAATTTACATCATTCAGTTTATGTTGGTAAATTCAAATTAACTTTTACTGGGAGCTTCTTGTTGGACATAAAGGGATATGTTTAATAATGTAAAAACAGAATTATTAATAATTAAGTTAATTCAAAGCACCTGTCCTGATAATTTATTACTAGCTAAGGAAAAAGTAAGGACGTTTAAGTAAAGGATTGAAATCTATGTATCCCCAAATCGAGCACTGCTTAAACTCCTGTCATTTAGTTTGGACATTTTTCTATTCACAAAAAAGAATGATTTATAATTAAGTCAATTCAAAGCAACTGTTCTGATAATTGATTACTAGGGAAACTTAAAGGTGTGACACCTTCATGTCCCCAAATCAAGAACTGCTCAAAGTCTAGTTAATGATGAGAAAAACTTTACTATCCACAAAAGAGAATAATGAATAATTAAGTCAATAATTCAAAACACCATTTCTGATAATTGATCACTAGGAAAAATTAAGGATATTGATTCAGAAGTTAAAGGTGTGACACTAAATTACATGTCCCCAAATCAAGAACTGCTCAAAGTCCAGTTTATAATGAGAAAAACTTTACTATCCACAAAAGAGAATAATAAGTAATTAAGTTGATAATTCAAAGCACCTGATCTGATAATTGAATACTAGGAAAAATTAAGAATATTGATGTAAAGGTGTGATCCCAAATTACATGACCCCAAATCAAGAACAGTTGCTCAAAGTCCAGTTATTTATGATGGAAACAGTGTATGCTGGTTTGTGATAGTGTTATTGTCTATGAGAGGAAACAGCTGAAGGCAAAAGTTGCTCCAGCAACTTCCACAGAGAACTTGCCATCATAGCAGCAGCAGTCAGTTTTTGCTAAAACTGAACTTCAGCTTACCAAGACAATGTTTCTCTTGATGCTAAACAGCTTTGTTTGCAACCATTTTCCAAGGAAAAATTAAGGATACTGAAGTAAAGGTGTGACACTGACATGTCCCCAAATCAAGAACTGCTCAAAGTCCAGTTTATTATGAGAAAAACATTTCTATCCACAAAAGAGAATAATTAATAATTAAGTCGATAATTCAAAGCACCATTTCTGATAATTGATCACTAGGAAAAATTAAGGATATTGATTCAGAAGTAAAAGGTGTGACACTAAATTACATGTCCCCAAATCAAGAACTGCTCAAAGTCCAGTTTATTATGAGAAAAACATTTCTATCCACAAAAGAGAATAATTAATAATTAAGTCGATAATTCAAAGCACCATTTCTGATAATTGATCACTAGGAAAAATTAAGGATATTGATTCAGAAGTAAAAGGTGTGACACTAAATTACATGTCCCCAAATCAAGAACTGCTCAAAGTCCAGTTTATTATGAGAAAAACATTTCTATCCACAAAAGAGAATAATTAATAATTAAGTCGATAATTCAAAGCACCATTTCTGATAATTGATCACTAGGAAAAATTAAGGATATTGATTCAGAAGTAAAAGGTGTGACACTAAATTACATGTCCCCAAATCAAGAACTGCTCAAAGTCCATTTATTTATGAGGGAGACTTTTCTGTCCACAAAAGAGAATAATTAATAAATAAGTCATTAATTCAAAGCACCTGTTCTGATAATTGATTACTAAGGAAAATAAAAGATGTTAAAGTAAAGGTGTGACACTAAATTATATGTCCCCAAATCAAACACTGCTCAATGTCTAGCTATTTATAATGGAAACAGTCTATGCCAAATACTTTTTAAATGAACAGCCCTTTGGCTAAGCTGGGTTAAAAAATTCACTAACCCAAACCAAAAAACATTAGCCTGAATATAAATAATTCATTTAAACAGTTTAAGCAGATTTTGTAAAGAGTTGTACTATCAAGCTAAGTTTACATTAACCGTTTAAAAAATAACGGGTATCTAATTTTCCTGTCAGAAGACGGTCAAAAATGAACGGATCAACAAACTTTAAGATAATTTGGAAGACAGTCAGAAAATATCTCTGAATCCGCTCCTGTATAATTCCTGTTAAATCCATCCCAAATCTCTTACCACAATCTCGGACCTCATCCTCTCCCCCTTCGCAGTCTACAGCCCCATCACAGTACCAGGAAGTGGGAATACAGCGGCCATCTTGACACTGAAACTCCTCAATGGTGCATGTGCGGTTCCTGCAGGAACTTTCGTCGCTGTTATCTGGGCAGTCCTGGGTGCCGTCACACACCCAGTGCGCCTCTATGCATGGCATACCAGACACACACTGAAACTGTCCTGGCTTGCATGTCACTGCACCTAAAATACAATGTAAACAATATCAAAATATTATAATACATGTACATACACCGCGCAAGAATTTCTGTCCTCTTTACTTAACTTACATTGACTTGCATTCAAGTACCAGAAACTAAATTTACAAAAACTTGGTCTTTTTCGTTTTCTGTTTTTCTTTTTTTCCAACTAAAATTTAGTAAAAACTCTGTTTCTGCCTTTCTGCCTAGAAAACAACTGTCAAGCACCAGGGGTAGTCCCTGTGGCTTGTCTATAGCATATAGTTTCATTGACCTACCACAGTCTGTCTCATCAGAGAAGTCCTCACAATCCATATCCTGGTCACACTTCCATATACTGTGTATACACTGACCATTGGTGCACTGGAACTCATACTCTCTACACTGGTGTCCTAGTGGAGAATATAGACACAGCTAGGGTATGCTGATATATATATAAACACACACACANTAGCGTCGCCCCTCCTTTTTTAATGGCTTGTGTTACATGAACACAATGTATGTATGCTCACAGTGTTATTGTTGGACAAAAGTTGGGTTACTCATTGCAGCTTGGGGTGTTTTCCCCAGAGGAGTCACCTCTAATCTTGGACGGATTTAGGCCAACTTCTGGGTCTTCCGTCAGTAAAAGTGACATCTATTGTGCAAAGCCACAGTATGTTGTCAAAATTTCAGATAAAAAAAAAGAGTCCAGAAAAAATAGGTTAAAATAATTAAGAGAAGCAAAACTTAAAGAACACTACCACTGTCTATATTTCCATTATTGTCTATCTTCTGCACCATATCTGTCCCTGGGCGGCTACACTCAGACTCGTCCACTCCGTCTTCGCAGTCTCGGAAACCGTCACACACCCAGTGACCGGGTATACATGTATTATTATCACCACAGAGGAACTCAGAAATGTCACAAGTGATCAGACCTAGAAGATAAAGGTCCCTGGATTTGCGGTGAGACAACTAAAATGCAGGGTGTGTCACTCCTGGTGACTGAGACCACAAGAGAGCTCAAAATAGTCAAATATTTAAAGTATATGTAACTGGAAACTGAAAACCATGCAGAGTCACGATGACACAAGCAATTCTGTGTCATTCTGTACAATAAATTATTTCATCAGCTAGAGAGGCCTAATTGTTTGGCAGAGTAAGATTAGGAATCCAATCATTGATTTTCACTCATTTTACACCTAGTGTATTACCATGATATATCCTATACCACAGTCCATGTAGAAAACAACTGTCCAGATATAAAGTCTTTCACATCATGAATGTAATATATCTTTCACACTTGGTGTTTTCTTCTCAACACCATTGTGGTACATTGGACAACAAGGTGTAAATGAGTGAGTCCAAGTTATTAAGATACAAATTTGTTGAAAATATCGCTAATGCCAGGCACTGTGTTATCTGTTATGTGTTGGTTACATAATCTTTACCACAGTTTTTTTCATCCTCCCCCAGAGGGCACTGCTGGTGCTCATCACAGACCTGGTGCGGTGGCAGACAGGGGCCCATGGTACACTGGAACCAGGGAGGAGAACACTCAGGCACCACACCTGAAATAATATCCCAATGAGATGTCAGGAATACAGGGATGAGACTGATAATTGGTGAAAAAGTCAGTAAATAGGGGGATCGACATGGGGTCCAGTGGGCCACCGAGGCCAATAATAGTTTTGGCTCTCAAAAAGTCCAAAAATCTGTCGATATAGTTGGAAAAATCTCATCCTCGGTAATAGATAACACATTGTTGATTCTTTGTGAAATATCTATAGTCTCCTGTGACAATCAAGTACATATCTCTGCATATTTACAAAGTTTGTTGCTGTGATAACTCAAATCACCAAAACAACAAGACCAATTAACATACAGGAACACCCCCAAAATCAGTAATTTGAATTTGATTGAAATTTATCCACGTCAAATTGCATGTGCTGGGGCAAAATGGCACACACTCATGTTTGTCTTCTGACAAATAACAAGCATGTTTTTAAATCTCAGTTAGTGACATTTTTTCAGCTGGTTACAAAAATCAAAATACAGTCATGCAACCACATTATAAAATAGAGTCATTTCAGCAACGGTTTTCACATTACCACAGGTCACTTCATCTGAGTGGTCAGAACAGTCAGGTTTCCCGTCACACCTCAGAGACTTGGCTATACAGGCGTTGTTCCCACATCGCCACTCCTCTGCCTGGCAAGGAGCCAACAAGCCTGGAATTTAGCAAAATTAATTTACATCATTCAGTTTATGTTGGTAAATGCAAATTCACTTTTACTGGGAGCTTCTGAGCAAATGACTTGTTGGACATAAAGGGATATGTTTAATAATGTAAAAACAGAATTATTAATAATTAAGTTAATTCAAAGCACCTGTCCTGATAATTTATTACTAGCTAAGAGAAAAGTAAGGACATTTAAGTAAAGGTTTGAAATCTATGTATCCCCAAATCGAGCACTGCTTAAACTCCTGTCATTTAGTTTGGACATTTTTCTATTCACAAAAAAGAATGATTTATAATTAAGTCAATTCAAAGCAACTGTTCTGATAATTGATTACTAGGGAAACTTAAAGGTGTGACACCTTCATGTCCCCAAATCAAGAACTGCTCAAAGTCTAGTTAATGATGAGAAAAACTTTACTATTCACAAAAGACAATAATGAATAATTAATAATTAAGTTAATTCAAAGCACCATTTCTGATAATTGTTCACTAGGAAAAATTAAGGATTGATTCAGAAGTAAAAGGTGTGACACTAAATAACATGTCCCCAAATCAAGAACTGCTCAAAGTCCAGTTAATAATGAGAAAAACTTAACTATCCACAAAAGAGAATAATAAGTAATTAAGTTGATAATTCAAAGCACCTGATCTGATAATTGAATACTAGGAAAAATTAAGGATATTGATGTAAAGGTGTGATCCTAAATTACATGACCCTAAATCAAGAACAGTTGCTCAAAGTCCTGTTATTTATGATGGAAACAGTGTATGCTGGTTTGTGATAGTGTTATTGTCTATGAGATGAAAAAGTTGAAGGCAAAAATTGCTCCAGCAACTTCCACAGAGAACTTGCCATCATAGCAGCAGCAGCAGTCATTTTTTGCTAAAACTGAACTTCAGCTTACCAAGACAATGTTTCTCTTGATGCTAAACAGCTTTGTTTGCAACCATTTTCCAAGGAAAAATTAAGGATACTGAAGTAAAGGTGTGACACTGACTTGTCCCCAAATCAAGAACTGCTCAAAGTCCAGTTTATTATGAGAAAAACATTTCTATCCACAAAACAGAATAATTAATAATTAAGTCGATAATTCAAAGCACCATTTCTGATAATTGATCACTAGGAAAAATAAAGGATATTGATTCAGAAGTAAAAGGTGTGACACTAAATTACATGTCCCCAAATCAAGAACTGCTCAAGGTCCAGTTTATTATGAGAAAAACTTTTCTATCCACAAAACAGAATAATTGATAATTAAGCCGATAATTCAAAGCACCATTTCTGATAATTGATCACTAGGAAAAATTAAGGATATTGATTCAGAAGTAAAAGGTGTGACACTAAATTACATGTCCCCAAATCAAGAACTGCTCAAAGTCCAGTTTATTATGAGAGAAACATTTCTATCCACAAAAGAGAATAATTAATAATTAGGTCAATAATTCAAAGCACCTGTTCTGATAATTGATTACTAAGGAAAATTAAAGACGTTAAAGTTAAGGTGTGACACTAAATTATATGTCCCCAAATCAAGCACTGCTCAATGTCTAGCTATTTATGATGGAAACAGCCTATGCCAAAAACTTTTTAAATGAATAGCCCTTTGGCTAAGCAGGGTCTAAAAATTCACTAACCCAAACCAAAAAACATTAGCCTGAATATAAATAATTCACTTAAACAGTTTAAGCAGATTTTGTAAAGAATTGTGGTATCAAGCTAACTTAAAAATTACTTTGTAAGGTGAATAAGAAAATCAATCAGGTTGATTAAAGGGCTTTTATTCAAGTTCATGTGGAGATCAAATTAATTTTAAAATAATATATTTTGAATTTTTTTAAATATTGAACAATAATTTTTAGTTGACATATTGGTTAAAGTTACCTTAATTTTTGTGCTTTTGTATTATTATAATAAATTTATTCATTATTTTAATGTAACCACAATCTATTTATCCTTTTAAAGATTGCTATCCTTTTTATTGACTATGGCACATTTCAGACTTTTTTTCCAATTTACATCAGTGTGTAACAGCATCCTAATTTGTCTAAATACTACACATTTTTTTAAACTTGCAACTACATAGGTGGTGGAAGAGTCATTTAACAAAACGTCTTGTAAATCGTTTGGTTACATATTTTGACTACTGGTTCATGGTGTTGATGGGCAGCAATCAAATATATCCATACAATGCCATGTTGTCAAGAATAACTCACCTCATCGGCCCTAGCCACTGGCTATTTATGCAACTACCTGGGTCTTGATTATTATTTATAAAAGTCATCAGCAAAGAAAAATGCCTTTAATTATGGAGGTTAAATGGTATAAATAAGAAACATTAACAAAAAAGGGATAGGAATTATCCATTCCTAGGTCCACTAGATGTTCCTACTCAAATGTTTTATGAGGAGATAACATATAATATAATATAATATAATATAATATAATATAATATAATATAATATAATATAATATAAATTACTTGCTTGAGAGACAGTGTTGTCTTGACAACAAACCTGCTGCAACCCCTTAGGCCCTGATCTGTTCTAGTTCCTTGATTATACAGAAGAGGGTCAGATTTTTAAGTTTACATTAATGGGTATCTAATTTTTCTGATGGAAGACAGTCAAAAATGTAGAATGGATCAACAAACTTTAAGATGATTTGGAAGACAGTCAGAAAATATCTCTGAATCCGCTCCTGTATAATTTCTGTTAAATCCATCCCAAATCTCTTACCACAATCTCGGACCTCATCCTCTCCCCCTTCGCAGTCTACAGCCCCATCACAGTACCAGGAAGTGGGAATGCAGCGGCCATCTTGACACTGAAACTCCTCAATGGTGCATGTGCGGTTCCTGCAGGAACTTTCGTCGCTGTTATCTGGGCAGTCCTGGGTGCCGTCGCACACCCAGTGCGCCTCTATACATGGCATGCCAGACGCACACTGAAACTGTCCTGGCTTGCATGTCACTGCACCTAAAATATATATGTAAACAATATCAAAATATTATAATTATAATATTAATACATGTACGTACACCGCACAAGAATTTCTGTCCTCTTTACTGAACTTACATTGACTTGCATTCAAGTACCAGAAACTAAATTTACAAAAACTTGGCCTTTTTCGTTTTGTTTTTCTTTTTTTCCAACTAAAATTTAGTAAAAACTCTGTTTCTGCCTTTCTGCGTAGAAAACAACTGTCAAGCACCAGGGGTAGTCCCTGTGGCTGGTCTATATAGTATATAGTTTCATTGACCTACCACAGTCTGTCTCATCAGAGAAGTCCTCACAATCCACATCCTGGTCACACTTCCATATACTGTGTATACACTGACCATTGGTGCACTGGAACTCATACTCTCTACACTGGTGTCCTAGTGGAGAATATAGACACAGATAGGGTATGCTGATATATATATATAAACACACACACACACACACACACACGCACACA